TTTAGGTCCATGACATGGCTATGTAACTAGCAAATAAACTCTGAAAATTTCGAACGAATTGATTCAGTATGAACAGTAGGAGAGTTTTTAGTATTTCGCAAAATGCTCATGTGAGAAAAGCGATTTTAAAGTTTTTGCATATATTAGAATAACTTAGTTAGAACAATATAATTGAAAATGGAACAATAGACTAAACCAATCGCATACTTTATCGCTCCGGGTAAAATCGTGGTTTTACCGTACGAAGGTGTAGAATTTGCTGGATTTCTCTGGTTTACGGTACATTTTCGTTCTTAAAATTACACGGATTTTATAAAGAACGCTATAAAGACTACATTTTTACGTTTTTCTAAAAAATAACAAATATTGGAAAATTTGGGTGTAAGACCACCTTAATTTTGTGGAGTGACACAAGGGGAGACTGGGACGAGAGGAGAAAAATGGCCCCAAGGTTATGTGTTAAGCAAGACGTAGGCTCGGCAGATGTGCACGGTGGCCAGCTGAAAATAAAAACATGATACATTTCATGCTCGGTCGCTCAGCAATTAAATATAGTGCTTAAAACACGTTTAGTCTAATAACATGACCTTATTAGTTATTTATTCATTTATTTATTGGTAAAGCACAAGCGGAGGTATTCAGTAATTCAGGTATTTCCGTATTAAAGCACAGCAAGAAAATCCAGTTTTTAATTGTCCAGTAATGCCTTCTCTGTGCTATATTTACGAACGAAAATGGCCAGATACGGATAGAGTGAAAGTTGATGGTGGAAAATGCATTTTTGCACGGTTGGGAAGGCATGCAAAACTATTCAATTTATATTGAAATAACCTCATTGGGGCTTCATGACTACATCGGCCACTTGAGTTGAAAATTATTAATGTGTTTTGTACTTTACAAATTGAAATCGACTTACACATTTGTAGAATCTACCTGCTGGAGGAATCATGACAGATAAAAAAATAAAACGTTCACTCCAGTCGTAGTCGTTCGACTTTTTTACATGAAGTATTTCCCATTCTGAGCCTGCGATACCTTGATGGAAAGTTGATTTCTCGTCGATGGAAAACCACGACAGCGACGACAAGAGATGGATTTAAAGCGATACGCCGTCGCAATTAACTGATCTATTCCTCTAGGAAAAAACTTTCCATTCTCGTACAGAGAGTCCTTGTTTCGAATCCCGGTTTTTTCTATTTCGAGTCGGCGTTGTCAAAGGTCAAGTTCGGATTTTCCCAAAGACGAGTCCAGGTTTTTCTCGAGTACGGATTTTCTTCGAGTCAGAGTTTCGAAGTATGCCCTTTGTTAGGGCTTCTTCTTGGTATAATGATTAATGGCACTGCACGTTGAAACGAGTCCTCATCAGATGAAATTTCAGGAAAGCGATTGTTGATCGCGCCTGGTATGTTGTCTAGTATTTTGGTTGGATGGTTTGATATGGACGTAAAGTAGAATATTATTGGGTTTAGTGAACGGCTGGTATTTTTGGGTAGACACGTTAAGTCGTGATTGTTGAAGGTGGAGCAGAGATCTTTTTTGATCATTTCAATTTCACGGGGGGTTGCTTTTAAAAGACCAAGCCAGTCATCTCGATAGAGGCCGAAATTCTCACCGTGTTTTTGGGTGATCTGGTGTAACAGGAAAGACCCGACTAGCTCGCACGATTCCGCCCCGTCATAACTACCCATGGGCCATGGTTATACATGTCAAACACGTTGGATCATGTTTTCTTGCCCCAGTGTTCTATAGAATTTTATAGGCATGATTTCTTTGCATGCAGAATAATATTTCTTTCCGAAATGTCGTCATAATTTGAGGCGAAATCTAGAGCTGTGTTGAGAAGGTCGATTGAAATAGATGGGTAGAAGTCAATCACGTCAAAAGCAATGAATGAACAATGATCTTTGTTCGGGATGTTATTAACCATGTTAACACAGATGCGGTGTTTTTCCACTGATTGACTCCAGTACTTGTAATTACTTTTTGGTTGATTTGACTTTGCCAATTTCTGACTTAGCTGGGTCAAAGAGGTGACAGGTAGGATTATTTTTTATCTTTTAAGTTGATAAACGCTTCACATTCGGTTGCAATATTAAATTTATATTGATCCTGTCTGCAAGATTTAATTTCGTCGCAATATCTTCAGCCTCGTCGTTGATTGAAGATACGATGTCGGGTGTGACATTCTTTGTAGTAATTTGTAGTTTTGCCAGCTGGTATACAAATAATTTGTCAGAAGTCCTGATGCTTCTTGTATTTGATGATATTCTATTTTGGAATGGGCAGTTGACTTTCTTGAATTTTAAATATGCATGCAATCATGTTGGTCATTCTTTTCTCAAATTTAGCCATTTCAGCGATTGGGGGAGGTGTTCGGTTTGAGTTAAATCCGAAGGTATGTTGAGTGCGACCATTACATTCTCTGGATTGAGATAAAAAAAGTGTTCTCCAACGCATCCGTCGATCGATATGCTTCGCTCGGTAGTCATCTTCTGGTGGGAATTCTGGTTGGTTAATCATCTTCTGGTGGGAATTCCAAAATCGTCGATATCTCGAGCTTTCTAGCCTATAATTTAGTTGGATCGCTGGCCTGTTACCAAGCAACTGTGCAGTCTGTGCTCTTTGTTTACACGTATACTTCTTGGTCCTGCCATTCTCGATTCGCATGGCTAAAATCCTCGCTTAATAGCTTATAATAAAGCTAGCTAACAACAGCAAAACACAATAAATACACTTTTGATGCTTTTAAATCTTGAATAATCATATTATACTGATTTATTCTAGCTTTTGATATCATATAAAGCAAAATAAACCGGCCGAAAATACAAAATAACAACATTTCGCGTATCGATATTTTTCACAGTGATTTGTTTATTTAATATTAAATTGTATGCACTAATCGACACTTAGTCCGTTAGCACGCAAATTTACTTTCGTACATACAGTGTGCACAGTAGATGGGAATTCCGAAAACACCACTCGATTCTGTATGAAATTCTGTATAAACAACCCTAGTTGGAGATATTCGCCCTTTAATACTCTAAAACGCCATTTTACGAAAATTATGGTCGCGTCGTATTTGTGTGCAAGTTAACTGGAAATTTTAAAAGGATCATTCCAGTCTACTTTAAATTCTATTTCAAAGACACCCTAGCTCCTCTTTTTCATTCACAAACCGAGCGCAGATATTCAGTCATTTCATATTCGCCCTTCAATATCCCAAAAACTCAAGTCTTATACGGCGCACGGTAGATAGGAAATTAGAGAACACCATTGCATTCGCCATAATAATCGGCATCGTTTCATAGTAAACATATATATCTACTCAATTTAATAAAGGAACATTTTTATCGCGTTTTACCCCAGGTGACAATACTATAGAATTTTAATTGGGTTCAATGGCTTTTTACCTTTGTGTGATGCTTCATCAAATTGGTGATCGAATCGTCATCAATCACGATTTTTGGCTAAAACATGGTCAATTCGCCAAGGTTTTGTCCATCCTTGAGATCAAACTGGAGATCAAAATTTCCCCAGGGGGCATGCGCCCGGACCCCATTTGGCTCGCGCCTGGCCTCGAAACACTTAGCATGACATAGAGTACTCAATGGATAACAAGAGCATAATAAAGAAATATTGCGTTTAGCAAAAATGTCGCTACTAATATTGGTCAGACCTTTTCAAGATTCTAGACGAGGAATTCTTAATTAAAGGAGGCCATATCTTACACCAGATATCCAAAATCAAAACATCGACTGCAAATCCAAACTATCCCACCTAACTAAAACCCCCGACGAATAAAAGTGCAATAGCTGCAATACTGCAATTGCCAAAAACCCAGCGAATGCCCTATTACCCTATGTCCAAAAATTGTCTAGACTAAAATCTGTTATCTACCAAGCCACAATAAAAACATCTGAAAAACGGCCCACTCAAACATATGTTGGACTAACAGAAAATAAATCCAAAACCCGATACACCAATCACAAAGCTTCATTTAATAAGAAGCGAAACTCTACTGAAAAGTAGAAAAGTTGAGAAGTTGAAAGTTGAGAAGGAACACTCTACTGAATTAAGTAAATACAACTGGAATCTTAAGAACAATAACGTTACTTACTCTATCAGATAGAAAATTTTAAAACAAGCTAAATCTTACAGTAATGTCAGTAATGCATCCAAGAGATGCAACTTGTGTATCTGGGAGAAGTATTTTATCATTTGTAAACCGGACATTGCAACACTCAACTGACGCAACGAACTAATTTTTTTCGTGTTCGTGACACTACTTAAAGGTGTTAATTGATCTGTACTTAGATAAGTATCCTTTACCATCTGCTATAGAATAGGTAATGAGTGAATGATACCTCAACATAGACAACCATTTCCTTTGAAAGCGTTGCGTGCGGAATCTCGCATTACATATTTAAAAAGTTTGTTTGAAGCTAACGTCAATATATAGGCTATTTTATCTGAAGAGTGCTTCGCTTATTTACGATCGAAACTATATACGATAATAAAAATGCCAAATAAAGCTTGCTAAATTTCGGTACCGTCCTTGCCAAGCTTTCGTTGGTAGGAATGCAACTACCTGAAAATATTTCAGGAGAATTTCGACGTTTCGAGCGAAGGCCAGCGAAGGCCCCTCGCCTGAAGTCTTCGTCTGGAGGTGAAATGTCGAAATTCTCCTTATATATTTTCAGATATAATATATAAATAATCTGACCACAATAGACTTCATTTACTTACATAGCTCCCCACTTCCAAACAACACACTCCATGGTCACTGTTACGTAGTGTTAAAAGATTTGCTTCCTTTTATAATATCTTAGTTCTTAATTAAAATTGTGGCGAAGTTGGGCGTTATATTGTGGACACATAATCACCCCCCACCCAACCTCCCCCCTCCTCATAGGGGGTCCTAAAGGAGAATGGGGGGAGACTGAAAGAGAGTGGGCAATCCTCCCTCTGTGGTTGCATTTCTTGATGTGACAATTTGTGCCAAATATGATATCCCTATACCGATTCTTCGAGATATTTCTGAATATTTACCTCTATCTTAGCCAAACGCGATCGCTTTGACCTTGTCAAATAACCATTAAACCTTCTGTCCAATGCAACATCTGATGAGTTGCCAACACTTTCCTTGTTCTTCTTTCCACTATAATTCCTTTTTCTTTTAACACCTTGGGCTCTTTTAGTAACCACAGGTTTTGCTCGCACCAGATCATCAACCTATTTGGATTAATAGATATGTACATTGGTATATTTGCCTTTTCCTAGTGAGTAATTACTAGAGCAGATATACAGTACGCAGAGGCATAGCCATTGTAGGGCTAGGGGATGGATGTAATCTCTTAATGTTTTCATGATCATGTCATCTAGCTATGACATAAAATATACCAAATCTGTGGCTATCAGATTATCATAAAATGTATTCTAAATACATGAAATAACGTTTGACAGACCCTAAAATAGAAATATTGTCCTGAAGACTGTAAAGCCAATTAGATCTCCCACTTATTAGGGGCTGGCTATGCCCCTGACAGTAAGTTACAGAACTATCTACCCTGTGTTTAAAGAACCATTTTTTGAGCCATTTTTTGAACCAAATTAAACATTTGTTCATTGTTTCAAACTTGATGTTTATTGGATAAAAGATTATAACATTATTAGGAGTGAATTTAAGAACTTTATTGTTGCCAATTGAAAAAACGTCTTCTATCCAATGAAGATGCAAGGTCATTTACATTGCATTTTAACTTAAATGAAATTGGCAATTGATGTACAAACAATAATTTTTGTTCACATGATACTGTTGTTGTCTCATGTTTGAAGTCAGGCAAAATGTTTCATATTCAACAAACATGCTAAGATTTGATAAATATGGAAGATGATTTTCTGTACTCCAAGTACCTTGATGTCTCTTGTTATGAACACAAAATAACTGCTATGGTTCTGCAAACTTTGTTATGAGCAGTGAACAAAGCCTGTTAAATCATTCCAGAAATATTGACAATCTCATTTTACAATACAATGTAAACAATTTCGCATTTTCATCAATTGATAAAGTTTTACCTTGGCAACAATTAAGTTTGCCCCTAATAATGTCATCTTGTATCCAATAAACATCAAGTTTGCATGAAACAATGAACAAATGTTTAATTATGTATACCTCACAGTCAATTGCAACTGCATGGCTGTATTGGTTGAATTTATAACCATTAGGGTACAACCTATTTTATTATTTTACTCTGTCTAACAACAGATGATTCTATACATCAACAGGATCTGAAATTTATATTTTTCTGAGTATCCAACTGGGATATACCAGGATTCAAAGTTTAGTATATCTCCCCTGAGAATCCAGTGTCCCACTTCTGGATACTGGTTACCGGTACCATAAGTATTATACCTTGTGCCATCCAAATAAGTTTCCATAACTTTCACTGTTACAAATTACAATAACAACAAGAAACTCGATAGTCAACAACTAAACAATTCATTAATGCACTAAAACGCACATACTCCTTCAAATAACTTTTATATGCTAGGAACCTGCATCAAGGAGACAGCACTGTCATAGTGTCATTCAATGGGTTAAAAATGTAGTTACCAAGGCTGTAATTGTGAAATTACACCAGTCAGCTCACAATTCAGAAATTAATGCACAGATTTTGTATGCACAGTCAATTATACAGGTGCATCTCAGAAAATTAGAATATAATATCTCGGCATGTAAGATAGTCCCTGTGCATGTCTCTTTCCTTAATATCAATCACAACCATCCCCACATGTATGCATAACACAACAAATTTTTATTTACTTGCATGGGGGAAACTATTTTTGTTACAGTCATGGGGAAGACATCTAATCTCACAGTTGTACAAGAAACTATCATTGATACACTCCACCAAGGAAAGTCACAGAAGGTCATTACTGAAAGGGCTGACTGTTCGCAAAGTGCTGTTTCAAACAAGGGCAAATTTTCATTTATTTAAAAGGAGGGGTAGAAAAATTTCTGGTGGGGTGCAAGCGGCACAACTTGATGAGCTTTGACAGGGTTAGGCGTTTGGGTTCAAGCCTTTCACACAAAATAGGAGGGGTGAAGTGAAATTTTGGTGGAGTTGAACACTATATTAGAGGGGTTAGAGAGGTTCAAGGTAACCCCCAGTAAATCCGCCCATGATTTCAAAGCATATCCATGGGAAGATGATCGACTGGAAGAGGAAAGTGTGGCCGCAGGAAAAGATGCACCACTAAGAGAAATGACCGCTGCCTTGAGAAGACTTTCAAGCAAAACTGGTTCAAGAACTTGGCTGAGCTTCACATGGAGTGGGCAAAGGCTGATGTCATATTGCATCAAGAGCACCACATACAGGCATGTACGAATGAAGAGATACAACTGTTGAATATTGACAACTCAAGAGGCACCTTATCTGGGCTTAAAAGAAAATAACCTGGACTGTTGTTCAATAGTCCAAAGTTCTCCTTTCAGATGACAGCAACTTTTGCCTTTCATTTGCAAATCAAGGATCTAGAGTCTGGAGAAAGAATGGCGAGGCACTTCATTCATGTTGCTCAAAGTCTAGTGCGATGTCCCCACAGTCTAGCTGTGATGGCTTGGGGTGCCAGGTCATCTGCTGGTGTCGAGCCACTGTGCTTATCAAATCCAAACTGAATACACCAGTTTACCAGGAAATTTTCGGACACTTCATGCTTCCATCTGCCTGAAGCTTTATGGGGATGCTAATTTTGTTTTCCAGCAGGTCATATGCAGAACCTGCACACACTGCCAAAACTATATGTCTGAAAGGTTTGTTGAACATAATATTACTGTGCTTGACTGGCCAGCCAACTCACCTGACCCCTACATGGAATCTCTATGGACATGAAGATGGTGAAACAGACATCCCAACAACACATAAGAACTAAAAACTGCTATGAAAGCAACCTGGGCATCAGTCACAATGGAGCATTCCCAAAAGGTGATCGCCTGAATGCCACAACAATGACAACATACTGTATAGCTGTAGTATTTCATGCTAAAGGCGGCCTGACAAAGTACTGAGTGCAGAAAATATAACTTGTTGTAAACTGAAGAAGTGTGACACCTTTTATGTCTTATTGCATTCAGCTTCTTTATTTTCATGTACTGTAGTGTATATGTTAAAACAAAAATTCTTCAAATAACTAATTACATGTAATGATTCAACCAAAAATAAAAGTGTCATTTTTTTAATCAGAGATAATCGTGCAATAATTTCAACAATATTCGACTTATGTTCAGAGATGCACCTTTACACTGTGCTTGGTCAGCAATTAATTAATCAAATTGGCCAATCATCAATATTTAATGACAATCGGCTCATCTCTAATCTCCTGTCGGCTCTAGTGTTCTCAGCAACTGAGTACAAATGGAAGGGGGGCAACCACCCAAAATAACTTTCAATAGTAACTGCATAATTGTGTAACAAAGCTGTTACAATGATTTATAACCATGAAAGCATCAATAGGCTATGTTGCAACAAAATGGTGGTAATATGGTGGTAACCTAAATTGGGCCATTCCATTTAATATAGGCACCCCTCCCCTATTGAGGGGTTCCTTCATAATCCCCTTAGGATATAAAAATTTTAGAACCCCCTTGGATGCAATTTTTGGAAGTTACCCCATGGATTTCTTTATACCCCCTTTAGGATATCGTTTTTTACCCCCCTTGGATATCACTAAAACACCTAATTTTTGCTATTTTTTTGAAAATTTCTTAAGCTACCCTCTAGGAAATTTTAAGGTAGAAACCCCCTCCCCTCTCATAGGATTTCCAGACCCCTCAATAGGGGGGTGCCTATATTAAATGGAATGACCCATTTGCCCCGCCCCACCCACACAACATTTTGCAAAGTGTCCACCACAGGACACCATATACATTTCAATAGGTTTCAAACAAATCCCCTAGGGTCGAGTGGTTTGGGCATCTTCATTGCACAGGCTATGTGTTGGGATTGAACCTCATGTTGAATAGTTTACCCACTTGCTTGGGTGTGGGCAAGTTTCTGGTTAAATTGTTTAAAAAAGTGAATGTTGTATGTACGCATACATACAGCATATAATACTGTGTTAGATAAGTAACATTTACACACTAAAATCCGGTGTCAGATATTAAACTGAAATGGAGTATCTTGCTTGGAAAGTATGACTCCGAAATTAGGACTTAACAGCTAGCTATGGGAGTGAAAAAATGTAACTACTCACCAGACCAGGTATTTCGAGACTTCGCAATACGCTTTTATTATATTCGATGTTTTTCAAGCGTTGTATTTCGTAGTCACTGAGCTCATTCATTATTTACAGTATTAAAAACGAAAGATTCGCAAGAAATATGCTTAGCAAAAACTATTCCCACGTGCTGTAGAGAATAAACAGTACTTGTACATTTCGATTTTCGAACACGATTCCGGATTTCCGGTAGTGTCCGAATAACGGCCGAAGCCCCGAAGATTCACGGGGGCAATTATGGGCAAACTGGGTTATGGTCACTGGTGGTTATATGGTACACTGGAGCCGGTTACATTGGCAGGGCTAGCCCGGACCTGGGTCACACCCCTGATGGGCCTCGTTAAATGGCTATGTAACTAACCCTACCCCCTAACCGGAAGCCTAAAGTGCGTATGCGATTTTTCAGCCCGGTTTGAAGGCATAAAACCATTGCATAGAAAATTTCATCCCTACAAACCCAGCTAAAAAAAAACCCGCTTGCAACAAACGAGAAAACTAACCGCTTGCAACAAACAAAACATCGGCAAAACTGGCTGGCCCGGCTGCCATATAACCGAAACTTAAAATTTATATAAGATTATTGCAATAAGTGGGCCAGCCCAGTCCATGTAATCAGCCCCTAAATGTCCTAATCAGTAGCAATCAATCAGTAGAAAATTTAAAATTACATGGTATTCTCGATTTCTTTTCATCCAATATTCATGAATAACATGCAAGACCTGGGGAAAAGTGAGATCTCGGGATCCTGAGGAACATTTGCATTAGCAACAAAATTGACGAACATTTTGATTTTTTCACGCGTACTTTAAGGGAGAATTTTAAGGACTCGTATTTAGTTATCGGCCATTTGAGTCTATTTTGAGATTGCGAATTGTTCTTCATATCCTATTCATAAAATTTCAAGATTGTTCTGTTTCCTCAGCAATTCTACAGCCAATGTAATTGAGGAACATTTGAACTGAAAAGGCAAATTCAGGATCCGAGGAACATTGAACACTTTTTACATGTCTGTAACAACTAACATGCCTCAAAGATACAAAGAACCATTTAAACACAAGTTTTTATTCCATTTATTGTTTACTTATTTATATTAATGTTGATGGTCACAAGACTAGCTCCCTGCAATATTGCACCTAAATGAATATTGATGAACTCTTTGTTCATAACCTTCACACGCTTAGTCAGCCAATACTGGAGTTGTACTTATACGTTCTTACACCACAATGTATGTCTTTTGGTGGCCGAAGGAACTCGATTTTTCCTTACTTCGGTAACTTGTTTATCGCTGACAAACGAAAAACGGACATCAGCCACCAATCTCTGATCTCTCGATCCGACTAAAAAACATGTCTTTGCAAGCCAAATTTGTAGCGTGGATTAACTGAACAATTCGATAACGAGATTTCACAAAACAGTTGCCTCCATTGTCTCGCAAATTTATAACACAACAAGTAAATAAAAAACTAAAGCGTGGTTCACCATAGACATAGTATTCTATTAACTATCGGTTCACATGTACCTGCAGTATCCTGGCGGGCTATTGCAAGTTTATCCAATAAAAGAGGGGAAGTGAGTAAAAAACTTACGCAAATTTACACAACAAAAGAGGGGAACTAAATTAAGGGCATCTACAGATTGACACTTAATGATTTATGATTTTAATTCGATAAAGAGATTTCACAAGGCGCTCCACTGTCTTAAGGGTTCTTAAGCTAAGTTATTTTTCACCCTGCTCGGTTTCCCTTGTCCATATCGGGGAATATATTCAATATTCCCCTCTAATCAATTTCCCTCTAATAATCCCCTCTAATATTTACCTGCAATGTCTTTGCAGGCTTGCAGCACAAAAAATGAGAAAAAAACAACATCACGAAGGCAATATGGCATTAAGAATTATTTCTATTCTGACTCATTAACGCGACCTCGCAATGTGAAAAATAAGTATAGCCTATAGGTTATAACCTATACATGACGTTGTCTGCAATACCATAATGACTGAATATACATTTAGTTTTCGCGATAATTGTTTGAGCTTTGATGTCTCTGAGTTCAGCTTCAGTTCGGGATAACGGCTGTAGTAATCCACGGTAATCAGATAA